ATAGGCCCATCGATGCCATCGTAAAGCCGAGTACTATCTCAATGACCATCGATTCAGGGAAGCCATTGAATGCCATCTGAGAGCTGCCAGTGAGTAGTCTTCGGGTGGATGTGGTGGTCATCGGGAGTGCGCTCATGGCATGCGGTTGTCTGACATGTCTCGCGAAGTCTTATATGAATTTAATCTTAAGTTATCTATTGTTTAAGACATCCATATGTCTGTCGCAATGATGAACTGTAATGAGCGCACTCTCACGAGACATACCCTAAGACACTGATCCCACCAATTGATCCATTGATGTGACTAACCATTTGTGTCCATAGATTACATACAGGAGGCGCTCCTCAGCACGACCTGCGAGCTGATGAAGGCGTCGCTCGAGACGCAGAAGTCGTACCACATATCGCAAGAAGAAGTGCTAAAACAGCGCGAAGACTGCGAACAGAAGAAGATCGCGAACTTCAGACAAGAGCTGATCCATAGGCAGCAACTGATCGACAAGTTTGGACACCAGTCCGCACAGCCATCGACGGCCACCGCATTGGGCCACAAGACGGCGGCAATGGATCACAAGACGACAGTGATGTCGGAGCTCCGGGACGTGATGTCCGAACACGACTCGCTCCTCCATATACTGATTGAGCGCCAGTCGGACGCCGACGCGGCCATCGGTGGTAAGGCTGGCGGCGGTGACGGCGAAGAGTCGGATAAGTCGAGCGCTTCCAACGAATCGATGTACAGAAGCGGCGCTAAGAAGCCAAAGGACGACAAGGATATCATCGAAGAGTTGCGGACTATTAACGAGAAACTCAAGCAATTAGTCTTCCAGTTGTTCCAGGAGTTAGAGTCCTCGCAGAGGGAGAACCGGGAGCTGAGGGCTGAGAACGAGGTGCTGAAGGCCGAGAATAGTCAGGCGCTGACAGCGGTGCCAGAGTTGCCACCTCTGGAGCCGCCGGAACTCCTGTATTAAGTGGTGTTTTTGTGTTGTTTTTCAGGCGTTTTCTAATTAATGTCATGTTTTTTGTTAATTATTTAATAAATCCATTGATTTATAGTTTGGATTACAAATAAAAAAGTTGATGTCATATATAATATAAAATTCATTTGTAGTCTCATTTTGCTTATGAATTATTTTTAATCACTTAAAGCCATAAAATTCTTATAAAAACTGAGTTTAAAAATAAGTTNAGTTTGGATTACAAATAAAAAAGTTGATGTCATATATAATATAAAATTCATTTGTAGTCTCATTTTGCTTATGAATTATTTTTAATCACTTAAAGCCATAAAATTCTTATAAAAACTGAGTTTAAAAATAAGTTATTTTTTATTTGGTTTTATAAATGAACTCTAAATTAACAATTTTAATGAAATATTGTATCATAAGAGTGAGTATTGAATGAAATTACGGTAATATAAAAAGTCCTACGGTATACCGTAGTACTTAGGTATTACCGGTATAGTAGTTATCGCTAAAACAATCTAAGCATTGGATAAATGAAAGGTTTTGTGCAAAACAATAAAGTACAGAATAAATTCATATAATTTAATTTGAATGAAAGGTACTGTATATACCGGTAAATAGGTGTCAAACGTGATCAGTGACAACTTAGTACTTAATGTAGATTTGAGGTAACGATCAAAGTAAGAGTTTCGGACACTGAAGCTGCAAAGCCTGAACATCTCACATCTCCACTCTATTCGTATGTGATTTTCTTATCTTCAGTTCCTTCAGCAGTGGTAGTCTTGTGAATGGATCCAAACGAGTGATCCAATCGGGGACAGGTATGTCCAGCTTCTGTAGGCGCGGTAGGATCGTGTCGATTTTGGCGATGAATTGGCTACTCATTGGCGACACGTAGAGCGACAGACAAGATATACTTCGTGGCCATCGTCTCATCGACTCAAATGAATCCCAATGACTGAAGTGGTTGTCATTATCATCGACTGAAGTGTGTGTCAAACAGTGTGCCATTGAATGGTAAATTCCTTTCGAGTGTAAACTCCACTAATTTCTTGGTCTCCACTAATTGGTTGTCGGCGTCGAAGACATCGGAATTGTCTGAAACCCAGAGTTGAGACACATTTGGGCAGTGAATGAGGCGTTGCTTGAAATCCGAAGATAACTCCAAATGAGTGACAATTGGACCCAACTTTTCAAACACCGATGGATTGGAATCCTGGTCTCCCTTTCCTCTATCATCGCAAGTGATGTACAGTTCCTTAAAGTGCGGACAATATGTCTTAAACTGATGGATGGCGTCGTGGACCTGTCCGGTGAGGTCGTAGTAAAAATCGGTACAATCGATGGCCACAACGTTTGCACACTTCCTCATCATAATAGCCATCCGATTGGTGTCGACGTACTCTTCGCCCGATTCGTTCCGTGCCATCAGTTTTCTCAAGAGATGCCAATCAATATCGATGTCTCCAACAGTTTCGCAAACCGATCGCTGGAACTGTTTGGATACGGACTCGTGTCGGAAGCGATCGGTGAATGTCTCGTAAGACAGCAATACTTGACACAAATCGTCACCGAATCTGTCGAAAGAGTCTTTGCTGTATATCTGAGACATTTGCACACGAAATACAAAACTCTTGTAATAAGTGATGAACTCTTGTGGTGATAACCGTTCACTCAAAACACAATTAATATCAGGATTTGAGAAATTGTTAAACAAATAGTGATTTGAAAGTATAATTCACATCAAGATCTCGAGCATTGGTTTAAAAACTTATTTTACAGTTAATGCCAATAACTGAATGCTTAAAAAATACTCCCCTCCCCACCGGACACTATTACAGTGTCTATGAATGGGCTATCATTGTGTTTATTGATTGAAAACCTTTTAGACCACAATATCCATGTCTAATATAACGTTACGTATTAAATACAAACTTGTGTCCCCTATAAAGGTGTTGACAATGAAAATCAATGCATACAAACACATGTCAAACGTCGCCCACTCATCCATACGGATGTCACTTATGTTGTGAACAGTCACTGAATAGCGATTGAAAAACAGCTGAAAATTCAAAATAGCGTTAAGTCTATGAGAAAGCAATCAATAACTGAATTCACAAAACAATTCACTAATCATTAGTTTACTTCAAAAACAACCAAAAAGTTTTGCGCAAACTTTTGCGGACATCAGTGTCGGTGACAAAGACATCGGCCGCGAAGACATCGGACACCGACTGCCGGCTGAGCGAGTGATTGAAGACCTAATTGTCTGGAGACATGTCGACCACCACTGCGTCGACCGGCGAGGATGTGTTGGCCACCAATGGGCTGACGCTTGTGGTTAAGTGGAGTTCCCAGGAGTACACCATCGACTCGGTCACCACCGATGACACGGTTTGCGACTTCAAGAACGCTATCTATAAGAAGACTGGTGTGAAGCCCGAGCGCCAGAAGCTCATGGGTCTGAAAGCCGCCGGTTTGTGTCCATTCCTCCGAGTCTTATGTCTCTATTCACTCACTTCTTGTGTGTGTGTATTATCTGTGTCTGCGATCTCACATCTTGTGGTGTCTATTGATAGGAAAGCCGGTGACGAACGACACGCCACTGTCTAAAGTGGACATCAGATCCAATATGAAGATTATGATGATTGGCAGCAAAGAGGAGGACATCGCCGGCGTCGACCTCTCGCCGCAAGACATACCGCAAGTGGTGAACGACTTCGACATCGGCGATGAGGTGGAGATGGGAAACATTCCCATTCAGAATAGGGAAGAGTTTTTGGCAAAAGTCGACAAACGGGTCAAAGAGTATAAGATTAAGATGTTGTCCGAACCCAGGAGTGGCAAAAAGCTATTGGTTCTGGACATCGATTACACGCTTTTCGGTTCGTATCGATTGATACATTGTTTTGAAAGTTTGTATTCAATTAATTATATCATCGGTTTTCGATACAATCAGACCACAGATCAACCGCTGAGTGCGCGGCACAACTCATGCGACCATACCTTCACGAATTCCTGACCACCGCTTACGAGGACTACGATATCGTCATTTGGTGTCCGTATTTGTCGCGAATTTCTTAATTGTGTTGCGAATTGAATGTTAAGTATTGACTCGTTTTGTGTTTGCATTATAGCGGCGACGGGTATGAAATGGATTGAAGTGAAAATGAGAGAACTCGGGGTCGAGAAGAATACCAATTATAAGATACTGTTCTATTTGGACAGCTCGGCGATGATCAGTGTCCACACACAGAGATACGGTTTAGTCGACGTATGTCTTGAGATGAATATCTCGTTTGAATTATGTCTAACANAATCCGGAGTCCGTTCTGCGGATTCATTAGGAAATTCTTGCGGATGTCGTCAAACATAATGGTATTCTTAGCGGAATATTCCTTAAATTTACCCCAAATCACACCCAATGGCTTCACCTGTAGGTCAGCACCAGAATCGTAATCAACGCAAATGTTAGACATAATTCAAACGAGATATTCATCTCAAGACATACGTCGACTAAACCGTATCTCTGTGTGTGGACACTGATCATCGCCGAGCTGTCCAAATAGAACAGTATCTTATAATTGGTATTCTTCTCGACCCCGAGTTCTCTCATTTTCACTTCAATCCATTTCATACCCGTCGCCGCTATAATGCAAACACAAAACGAGTCAATACTTAACATTCAATTCGCAACACAATTAAGAAATTCGCGACAAATACGGACACCAAATGACGATATCGTAGTCCTCGTAAGCGGTGGTCAGGAATTCGTGAAGGTATGGTCGCATGAGTTGTGCCGCGCACTCAGCGGTTGATCTGTGGTCTGATTGTATCGAAAACCGATGATATAATTAATTGAATACAAACTTTCAAAACAATGTATCAATCGATACGAACCGAAAAGCGTGTAATCGATGTCCAGAACCAATAGCTTTTTGCCACTCCTGGGTTCGGACAACATCTTAATCTTATACTCTTTGACCCGTTTGTCGACTTTTGCCAAAAACTCTTCCCTATTCTGAATGGGAATGTTTCCCATCTCCACCTCATCGCCGATGTCGAAGTCGTTCACCACTTGCGGTATGTCTTGCGGCGAGAGGTCGACGCCGGCGATGTCCT